AATACTTTGAATTCTAAACGTTCCTTGAAACAGCCTTTAATGTAACCTCTGGTTCACCCAACACACTGTGGCTCAATTTGAACCAATCAGTACAGGTTGGTCCACATCAGTCTGCTACATAGTGGTTAGCTTTTAAATTTCCAGATGTTCTTGGGGTTAACGAAGGCAGTTCTTTGTCTTGCCATTGATGAATCAACAGAGAATCTTCCATTTCAGACATTAAAATAGACTTTTCTTGACATGAGAAATAAATAAATAAACAACCCTCAAACACTAATTGCTGAACTTACACTGTCCTGTTACAGGGAAATTTATGAAACTGTATTTTAAGCGGTGTCAGTGTGCAGCTGTTGTTGTTTGGTCATGCTGGTATGTTGTCAAGCAGTGAGTCCTAACATTTTTTTTGACATCACAAGTTTTTGGCTATATATATATATATATATATATATATATAAACCACTTGGATCACAGGGACACAGGGACATCTGGATTCCCCTGTGCATCAGTGGATACAAATGTCTTCAACTACAGACCAACGTTAATTGATTTTAATGGAGCCAGTGAGTTATTGACCGTAGCCTTTGTCATGTTGCCAAGTAAGAAATCTGCCAAGGAGTGTATATTTAAATTAGCCACCGACTGTATTGCACACTGGTTGCCAACTTGCAAATTTAATATAAAAAAAAACTCCCTGCCATTCACATGAAATATTTCCGACCACGGGAGATGTGATGAATACCAATGGCATGGATGACGACCCTGTTATTCCTCTGCTTCTGCTGGATGACGGTGTCGCTGGATGTAAACGGTTTGATGTAATATGTAAAGCCCCCTTATGCCAGACCCAGATGCTTGATTACATACTGTGTAAGTGCGTAGTAATATGGAAATCTGCGACATACTGCACCATCATTTAAACCAATTTCAGGTTTTTACTGCTTCATATCATCCCAAACTGTTTTATATGACCTCAGTCACAGCTGGGACTGCTAGGATCAGGGGACAAAAAAAAATAGAATGTTTATAGCTGAGTAAACATTTCAATTATGTGGCCCTTTTTTGACTTTTGGTCTGATTTTTCTTTTTTAGCAGCGTTGCATCAACATACAGGGGAAAGTCAAAAGTGAAGAATGATGCAGAGGTAGATTTTCCTAATGCTGTGAAATAGATAAAGGCTTTGTTACCACCTTTGGCCAAATCCTTGGTTGGATTCAGTTGGAGGAAGGATCGCTGGTCTAAAAAACTCCTCTACTCACTGTGAAGCGTTTGCTGACCCCTGATGTGGGAGAAGCCATAAGCAATTCTTCTTCTTAATATTACATCTGTCTTAAAGCACTTTGTTAAATATATGCTCTATCTATTTAATGATGACATTTAGGTTTTTTTATTGTACTGACTCTTTATTTCTCTTTATTTCAGCAAACTCCAGTCTTCTGGGAGGAGGTGGAGGTGAGTAAACCACTTTCATTTCATGTAGCTCCACTAATTTGCTGCTACAACATTATGTATAGTTTCAGTGATCAGTGTTAACGGTATGGCATATCGAGATGATTCTTGGGGGTTGATGGGAGATATTATATTGTATTTGGTACTTTAAATGTAAAAAGGCTCATGCTAAGACTGAATCATTTCAACGTGATGCAGAGTCGCCCAGCATTGTGGCACTCTGTGAAATGGGCACTTCTTGAGCGGTCTACTGAAGACCATCATCATCATCATCATCATCATCATCAAAGCCACAGAGAAAGTCTGAGGTAGCTACATAATGCTGCTGCCCTTTTCCCACCACTCCACTCCTTTGAAATTTGACTTTTACAGTGACATGATTGAAATAATCGTTGTGCACCCACTCTGAGATTAGGTGGGATTGAGATGCAGCCAATGATCAAAGTGGAGTGGTAATAGTCTAACTTAACAGGGGGATTCTGCGGGAATGTAAGGACGGAATGACAGTGAAATAAGGTCACTGCTTCTGTCTTGTCTGTTTAGCCATCAGTGTTGCTTGTCACTTTGAATGTGTCATTGCCTCCTAAAACCTTAAACCTCTTTCAGCTTATGTGCTAAAACATGGTGATGTGTTCAACATAATCAATTTCCAGAAAAACTGATAATATAATCCATAAAAACTCAGATTTGTACTTTCTCAGTAAATGTGAACCTCTCATTGAAAGGCAAGGATAAATAAAACATCATGTTGGAGGATATGTATTAGCAGCAGGGTGTGAATAACTGGTGAATACCAACTGTCTGTGGCTGGTGATAGTGAATGCTACCAGAATATACAAATCGAACATCCTGACATCAGCTAAAACCCCTCTCCGGAAAAACCTGGGAAATTGCATTAGTTGTCCTGGAAATGATTTCCCCTCCCTTTGCATTAAGTGCATGCAAACATGACAACAACAACTGTAGTAAAGAGTACTTTGAGGAGGATCACGGAAGAGTATTAATGTGTGACAGGATAAGTTGTCTGTCATGAAAATCACCTGAAAAAGTCTTGGAAAATACTTTCAGTATGAGAGACAGAGTGGGAACCATCTAAACACACTGTGGTGAATTTGTTCTCTGTAGGAATTATGGCACATTATATATTTGTTTTATCCAAAATTACACGTGTTATTTATATTTGTATTTTTAAAATGTACATCCGGGTAATTAAGGTAATCTGTTCTCAGTTTTCTCCATCCATTTTACCAGCATTATTGGACATTTATTTTCACAAAAAATTCATTCCATTGACTCACAACAGATGACAATTTACATTTGGACTTGGAATAACAGCTCTATGAAGAATACAAAATTGAAATAAATGATGAATCTAAAGCAGCATTGAAAACAGCATAGACAACCGTCTGCTGGACGTGGGGTGCATCACAAAGTAGATAGTACTGTTCAGATCCCACACATATCTAACCATGAGGACAGAAGTGGCTCTCAGCTTGTCTAACACACGCCACAGACTGCAATTTTTTCCACTCGTTCTTTGCATATAAGTGCGGCATCCCTATCTGAATCAGTAACATGGAGAGACCCCTCTGCTCACGAACAGAGAACCACTATGATTGAGGTCAGAAGTCACCAAAAATCATCTTCATAAACAAGCCTGGCCTAGAAAAGCCAGGACCACAGTTCTCCTGATTGTCCCAATGTCTTTTTAGAGTCCTCGTTCCCTATTGATTTAGCATGTGGTGAAAAACAGAAGAAGCAATTTTCTGTGCTTTCATTATTGTTATATTTTTGTCAAATCACCGTTTTGCAGCTCTTTTAGTCTGGGAACATGTGAGCAAGTGGTGGTTGGTCGACAGTCAGTTTTCTCTGACGGTTGCGTTTTTTTCAGAACACAGTGGTGTGATCTCCCACCTCCATTCATTTCATATTAAATGAAAAAAAAAGAAAACATTTAATTGATTATAACCTACAGCTCTGCTTATTAAGTCCATAGAAATTATAATTGCAGCCAGCACCAGCAAGCATTTTAGGAGTGAAGCCTCCTTCATTCATAATTGACTTTCAGTCACGCTGTTCCTGCCAAGTTCCAGGCACAAAGCAGCAGTTCAGTTACATCGAAGATGTAAAAAGATGTTAAGTGGAGTTGGCTCCTGTTAACAGTTGCCATAACAAGTCTGTGCTTTTTTTTCTACCTCCAATGTGTGATTATTTTTCTTCCTTTTGTTTTGGTTTTATTGGCCCTGCTGAGGAACGAGAAGATAATTATAACCTAAAAAGATTATCTTCCAGTGAGTTGAAAATGTTATTTTTACCTTCCAACAAAGGCTAACGCTGTTGGTCTTTTATCTGCAGCAGGCCAAGAGGGTTCTTATCTTCCAGGGTCCTTATCATTTAAAGATTACTACAAAAACTGTGGAACTGCTCTGTGTTCTCACCCTGGTCTCTCTCCACCTCTATCAGTTCTGTGGCATGTGAAGACCTCCTGCCTTGGTGGCAGCGAGGATCGATTTGAAAAGGAGATGCATTCTCATACAGAGGTCTTCTTATCTCCCCGCTGTCTTCCCGGGGCTTTGCGGAGGGGCAGCTTCACAACAGGATGATCCATCATTTTGGCCTCACACACCTGCACCGTGTTTAGTTCTACCAGCTCTGGAGGTGGGCCTCGTGCCAGTTTGTGAATAATGGAACGGAATCTTTTAAGTTTATGTATGAAAAGTTAGTTTACTTCCTACACACTTTTGGAAGTCCCTTTAACTTCCATAATAATGTTGTTCTACTGCCATGCTTGGCAATTCTTCACAAGAGGTTTCACTTTATTCTCTTTTATTCTTTATTTATTACGCTGTGTTTAATAGAATGTGGCCACATTACCTCGAAGTCTCTTGTTGCTTGTAACGCCACAGTTTGAAAGAGACAGGCTGAGAGACTGTTGTTTTTCCCCCATGTTCTATTAAATAATTTGAAATCATGGGATCCTCTGTGGGCCGCGTCTTGACTTTATGTACACAATGGGGTTAACTAAAATAGCGCTCTTATCTCTTTTAGACACGTTGGTCTCTCTGGAATTTTATATATACAGAGAGGGAAAATAACAATGATCTCTGATAAAAGCAGGCTAAATAATGCCTCTATGAATAGTGGGTAATAATGAATGGTACCAGGTTGCTGGTGTGATGTGTGTCACAGCATGCTGGTATGTCGGTACTGTCCCAGCAGAAGAGACCTCACATAAATACAATGCTGTCTATCTTTCCTTTCTCCCCTGTTTGTCTCCTTCTCACACATGCACTCAAACCAGCACAAGCATGAAAGTCCATACTGAGCCATGTAATGACACCATACAGTCCTTTGTAGACACATAGAGGCTCCTTCCCCCCTGTGATGTCTCGGTCCAGGGGCAGAATTGTCTCATTAGCATTTCAAACAGACCTATTGCCCATTAAGCAACGGGTTGTAACTACAAACCCCATGTTCTGAAAAGCCGGTCTTGAATACATTTGAATTATTTTTAAGGCCAAACACAGTTAGCGTTTTTCTTGACAATTGTATTTCTGTTAAAACAATCAAACAAACCAAAAATGCTAATTTGACCAAAGTGGTTACATAGCAGGCAACTGGAGCGTCTTAGGTGGTGTTACATGGCTACATACCACTATGGATCCTGGAGCAGAACTACTGTTTTGTTAGAACAACAATGGCGGATGCCTGTCCTCTGAACATGCAAGAAGGTCCTATTCTTCTACTTGGTGTGCTACAGCTATTTATTTAGTATGTTAGAGCAGTGGTGACACAGCGCCACATGCAGGCCTGGCATATTTTTTTACACATGGGTCCGTGTGAATGTTCCGCATCCAAAGGCTCCAGAGCCTTAGATTCTTAAAGAATATTTACCTTTCATCCTACAGAGTCATTCATTTCCTTTGGATGAGAGGTGGAACGTCACACATAAATGTTTTTTTATAAATGCAGGCTGATGTAGCCACAGGTTGCTAATCCTCACTGAATCCATTAACCTTCTGTCATTACTCACAAATTATTGCATGAAGCACTGCTCGCCCCTGGCTCTGTGGCCTTGTAGGTTTTCTAAACATTGGTCTGAGTCATGGCACGTACCAATGCATCCTAATGTAAGGCAGTAATTATTCTGGCTGCAATTTTTGCCCAGCTTGTGTGGTGGTCATCTGGTTGTCTGCCCCTCTCTGCTGCTGACATCCGATGTAGAGTGGATATGACACCTTAAAGTTATTCTGGGTGTCTCCACTGAGAACATTATGCACACATGGATGCTTGTAAATTACAAATGTAATCAACATCGGGGACGTCGTGTGCAAGCTGCGACCTTAAGGTGGAATGTAAGACGACGTGTGCAAGACGACGTGCCGATAGTGAATTTATCTGACCACAGGGATGGAGCATCAACACTGCAGCGCCAGCACAACTATGTAGCAGTGGAGGGCTCTCAGGGCCTCTTACTTCAACACAGCGCTCCACTGTGTTTAACAAAAGAGAATGTATCCAGTTTTGGACATGTGGGTAATCCTTTGTCAGAGTTCCTAAGTGCCTCACTGTGCTTATCTCTGTCACCATTCGTTATGCAAAGAGCTCTGTTTTCTTTTCCTGTCACCTCCAGGTGAACCATTATCCTCTGTCTGGCTCCAACCCGAGGCTTGTTTATTGAGTAGATTGGAGAGGGGTGAGGCATGATTTCAGTGCAGGAGGAGGGTGGATACAGGCTGTAGGACAGTGTCGTGTGACAGTTGGAACTGGGTAACCTTCTCCCCTTGTTGCAGCTGAAGCACCCCGGCACTGCCCCCGACAATTAATCATTCAAGGATGACATATTACTTTTATAACTCATAGCCTGAACGCTACGGCTGAATGATGGTCCTCAGCCCACAGATGGTAGTTTCAGCCATTAGCATAACTTATGACAGAGATGGTGTATTTCCCTAAGGACTAACCTAAATAATATGATATGATAAATTAAATGCAAAGATTTG